ACGAGCGCACTAACCATGAGGCCACCGCGCCTCCCACTTATGAAGTCTATGAAGTCTATGAAGTCTATGAATACTGGGCGCCATTTACACGTGTGTTCTGTGGACTCCTGAATCTGGACTCTGGACTTCAGATTTAGAGATGAAATAAATAGCAATTAATATAAAAAAAAAGAAAAAAAAACATACAATCTGAATAATCTTGACCAAAAATCATGCATCGTCTTCTGCTTGAATTTCCAAGTTTATGCATTGCGTGACATCAAAGAAGGCTCTCAATAGAGGAGTTATCGGTGATGTTTTTGAGAGGAGAAGAAGTATCGTTTTCAATAACGACGGGTCGGAGCTCTAGAATAATACGTTTCTTTGGCCATCGTAACTTAACAGGAAATAACAATTCGCTTGTTATTTCTAAAGTAATAACTTTCAGTAGCAAAACTTAATGACAGATGCCTCTGTTACTTTAAGGCCGCAATGTTGGTAACCCCCGAGGGACACCGGGCCGATTTAGCGTCTCCATACAAAGCCTTATAAATTTGGGTGAAACACTTCCAAATAACACGCGAATGAATAACAGCACAGACCTAAATCTTGGCGAAGTTGTTTATATACCAATCATCTATCATATTTATTTCTCATTGTACAACTGACGATGAATGATGTCTCATCCGAAACATGTCTTGTCTTCATTAAAAAATGAACTTTAAAAACACCGTGTGGTTCATCAAAAAGATACTATTACCATTACCATTACCATTATCATTACCATTACCATTACCATTACCATTACCATTACCATTACCATACCACTACCACTACCACTACCACTACCATTACCATTACTATTGCTATTACTGTTATCATCATCATCATCATCATCATCATCATCATTATCATTGTAATTATTATTCACTATTATCATCACTTTTTTATTTTTATTACTATTTTTTCATGATTTACAATACTATCTTACATCAACAATACTACAAAAAACCGCACTACCACTACCAGACTACTTACTATATGCAATTATAGTATGTTGCAGTATTGCAGTCATACAGCAGTTTTCAGTTGAGTGTCGATAGTAATCAGACAAGTACTAACAAATCAAGGCATCAAGTTCCACAGGGAAGATGAGCAGCCCCAACCAGCCGCTGTGAAGAGAGCGAAACAGTCGAGGCTACTTAAGGGTGCCCAAGACTGGCAAATGCTGGCTGATCTATCTAAAGCCCTGCATTTTCCATGTCACATTGCCATCACAACTGTGCGCCCAGACATCGTAATCTGGTCCGATTCCCGTAAATGCGTGCATCTGGTCGAACTAACTGTGCCTTGGGAAGGGAACTTTGACTTTGCTAACGAACGCAAGAGAACCCGTTACGAGCCTCACCGTGCTAGCTGTGAAGATCGTGGCTGGGCCTGCAGAGTTATACCCGTCGAAGTCGGTTGCCGCGGCTTCATTGCAAGATCGACCAGGTCCTTCCTATCAAACATCGGACTCCCAAAGAAAGCTCTCCGAGCAGCAATCAAGGCTCTTCAAGAAGAAGCAGAGGCAGCATCCAACTGGATCTGGCAGTCATCGCGCAGTGCCTAAATCTGCGCTGATCACAATATCTTATTAAACTACATCCAGTAAGTGCCTGGACACTCCTTGTGCATACACCACACGCTTGCTGCTATTACGCCTGACCAGGCATCACCCAGTGGCATCTGCCGCTGGCGGCGCCAGGAACTGTAGTCCCGTTGCTAACCGCCGAAACTACCAAAGTTCCTGGTCAACGGCTGACGAGGATGATGCCTAGCAGTTAGCAGTTAAAGCCTCTGTATGAATTCCCCTTTGGTTTTGGTTTTGGTTTTACTACGGTTTGGGATTGGCTGAGTAGTCTAACTGGTAAATAATTGGTTTAGTTTTGGTTTTACGACACTCAATGTTGAAAACTGCTCTATTGCAACATCACAAAACAAAATAAAATAAAAAACATGGAAAGACTTATTAACAATAGGACGTAGCAGCTACATTCACTATAAATTATATGCATTACAGAGTTTTGCTACTTTTCAGTGACTTTTGGGATAGATTTTTTTTTTCTTTACAATTTACAAGATATTGCCTGCATTACACCACCTAAAGGTAGATGCAGTTCTAGTTTGTTGGATTCAAGTTTATTACTCATGCACAGTATGGCGCATGAGTTATAAAATGGGCTCCGTTTCTCCGTTCTGGTGTCACATTTGTGCATGCAAATTTATGCATGCATACATTTATCACGCTCTTTGGAGCTCCGCCATATTGGATTCTTCAAGAAGGTGCCGTTTTTTTCCCAAACGTTGTGCTTTTTTCTCAATTTGATACGGTGTGAAAGTACCTGTCAGTACTTAAGTTCGTTGTAAAGATTCTGAACTGACCTGTGAGCATGCACGAACAGCAAGAAAGTGTTTCTGGAGAAGTAAGCCATTGTTTATGTCGATCGCCATCTGACAATATGACAAGTGTCAAATCTACTAGGGGTTTGGAGATTCAAGGATATATTACGAAGAATCATTTACTAAGAACGTGCTCTGTATACTTCACCTTTTATTCAAACAATGCTTCCTGTTCGTGTAAATGGACGTGTTCAACAAAGCGGGCAGCCACGTTCGATATATCATTATTCTAGCGTGGTTCCGAGGCTTTCAGGACAAAATTTTTCAAGTTTCTTTTGTCCCTCAATTTCCAAAAGAGACTCGGTTACAAAGAAAACATTTTAAAAGAAAAATAGATGCTATAACATGACGTTTCGACGTTATCTTGTCGCTATTATCAAATGTAGATTAAAGTCGTTCAGTTCAGATATATACTAGCTCAGGTATTAAGAAGGAATCCACCAAAGGTTCGAGAAATAAGTGGACAAAAGCTTTTCACCGAGATTATTTACATTGTATTGGAAACTTCTGTGCGACTGTTTTAAATATCTTCTCAAAAAATATCAAATGGTGAAATGAAACTGATGATGAAATTTTACCTATGTTTTACCAAACAATTTCTCTGAACTTTGAAATTTACTTTCTCGAGTTGCCATGAGAAAGTGTTTTTGGTGTTGTTTCAGACAACTGTTTATATCTTTAGCTTTTAGAAAATGCAAAAAGGATTGTAATATACTTAAAGTTATTCTGGTACAAGGTTTTTGTCCATTAAAAACTGAAATTGCTCGCTTTCCCGTCGCATTTTGTCTTAAGGAGTCA